TGATTAGATGCTGAGCAAAATAATGTGAATAAAATGCACAAGAATAAACCTTAACTGTCTTAACAGTCTTTACCAGAACTCGTGCCAGTGTTGGGTGGACTGGATAGGAAAGCCCAGTGGGCTGCATCTGGTCCACAGGCTGTAGTTTGGTCCGACTTAGACCCTAATTATACGACGACACACAATATAGAACTTTCCATGTTTTTTTATGTTTGCCAAATTTTGAATATAGCAGAGCTGTCCTTTCTTCTGGTTGGTCTATTGTTTTAACCCGATCTTGTCAACATGGGAGGTGCAGGGGGGGGGGGTGCTAAATAAGGACTTTTTAAGTACTGTATACTGTACCTTTACTGTATAGTAGAGGTAAAAAACAGCATTATGAGCCCAGATCCTCACTTTGTCCCAGTGGAAAAAAAATACAGCAATGCTATGTTGTTTAGCTGATAAAACCTGAATACTTTATGTAGTGGTACACAGACCTGCTGATAAAACCTGAATACTTTATGTACTTTGTGGTACACAGACATAAAGACGTGAAATTCTCTGATTGTCCTTAAAGCCGAGTCGTCGTCCTTGTTTATTCCTAGAAGGTATGAAAGCCCCCTCCTCTTCCCTAGACACAACAGCGGGGGTAATAATGTTATGAAGGTTTACAGTATGTGGGTTAATTAGAAGCACACCACCAACACAACTTCTCATTTACATGCCTGTGTGTGCAGGAGGCACGACGGGTTCCTGTGGACAAAAGTCTAGACGCTAATCATTATGAAAATTAATTGGAGCACTCTTCTGCCTCTCGTCATGGAGATGAGGTCTGCGGGCAGTCCAACAGGCTCAGTTTGTTTGGGAAGCTTCCTAAATGAGTCAAATGACCCAGAAAAATTTAAGTGGCAGTTAGGGTAAGAGGCTCTGAAATCTGCTAAATGATAAAGAGCCTCGCTGCTTCCTGTCTCATGTCCTCAAACACAGCAGAAACAGGAGCGCGCTTCACAAAGGGAACGTCGACAGAACTATCCCACAATGCACTGTGGGAGCAATTATATTTCAGCATTACAACAACAGCTATGCAAGAAAAATAATAAAAAAATAAAAACCCCGAAGACGACAAGTGGCTGTTGTGACTCAATCTCAAAGTTATGAAAATGTAAATCCTGACGCCCACGCAGCAGAGCTTCGGTTCCTCAGTCTAATGAACAAACCTGGAACAACCTCAGTCCACAAGAAGTCACTGACCTGGGATCAGACTAGGATAGGCTTTTTTTAATAATATTTGCAGCATCAAGCCAAAGCAACTCGAGGACCGTTGGAAATGGGTAATATAGAATCATCATGAACAAAATTGCCAAACAAACAAAAAAAAAACCCATATATATACATCTATTATTTTGAACATCGACTGGATGACCTGACTTTATATTCTGTGTCTCTATACGTGGAGCTGTATTGGACTGAACTGTCCAGAGTGATGTGACCCCGTCCTCGTCTTATCCCTGATCTGATTGGCTCCTGTTCTTGATGAAAAAATGGAATTGTATTTGTGGTGGTTTGTCCAAATAATGTTGAGTCGACAATACTCAGTCACAATGAAATTATTATTAGAAATTATTATTATTGGGAACAAAATTGAAAATGGAAATTAAAATCATAAAAATTAAATGAATTATACAAAGGGCGGGGGGGGTGCTGTCTACATGTCCTAATTTAGTCAGATGAAGGTTTTTTTTCTCCTATGTATTTCTTAAAATAAAATCATGGAAAAAAGAGTATTTGACATTTTGACAAAATACATGACATGCAGTTTGTGAGGTGGTCTGAACTGGTTCAACATTCTACCGTGAACCCCCCCCCCAACCCCACCACCCCCTCACCCGCACCC